GAGAAATATATGGAGAATCCTTTGCTAATAGAGATGACCCCACATGTTTTAAGGAATGAGCTCTTTTGGTCCCAACAAATCTGGATGTCGAGAGAATTAACGAGTATATACTTTCACAATTAACAAGTATTATTTCTTTGATAATACAATATATGTTAACATGTCTTCCTACTTAGATTTTGAATATCTCAGAACTCTCTAATTGTTTAACTCTATAGATGATGAAAGAGTTTATTTGAGCGCTGATATTATTGACCCATCGGAAAGAATGGTAATTCTAGAAGATGATATAGATACTTTGGACAAAGATTTTCCAAAAGATATTGTCTACACACAAGAATTCTTGAACAACATCAAAATTTCAGGCTTGCCTAATCATAGACTGGTTCTGAAGATCAGAGCTCCTATTTTCTTGCTTAGAAACATTGATCCAAAAAGAGGATTGTGCACGGCTTATTGTCACTCAGTTAGCAAATCACGTTATCGAAGCAAGAGTGTTTATAGGAAAATCTAACAGTGATGTAGACGAGAAGGTTTTAATCCCAAGAATGTTTGTTACTCCAGCCGATGCAATATTCCCTTTCAAGATGCGCAGAAGAAAATTTTCAGAATCGCTTGCTTTTGTAATGATGATAAACAAAAGTCAAGGTAAGACTTTGGAGAAGGTAGAATTGTATTTGCCAAAACCAGCTTTCTCTCATGGTTAACTTTACATTTCACATGGCTTAAAGATATTGATCTCTGACAACAAAGGAGCACCAAACAAAACCACAAAGAATATCGTCTACAAGGTGATTTTTGCCAACATATTGACTATACGTTTTTAAGAGTTTCTTGGCAAATAGGGTAGTTTTAAGTTTTTAATTTGCCAAAGGGTGTGTTTTGAAAAAGTAGATGTGTTTGGGTAGTTTTTGAACAGTAACATTTTTAAATGGCAAAATAGCCCTTATTAGGAGGAAGAGAGCATGGGAGAGCGTGAGGGAAAGTGAAAGAGAGTAAAAGAGAGTGGGGAGAGAGTGTGAGAGAGTGTGAGAGATGGAAAAAAGTAGTGTATTTAAATATTATTATTTTCTCTTTCCTCTTTTTTATTTTTTCCCTTGAATCAATTATTGTAAATTATTCATAATAATAAAACATTTAATAATTTATATATATATATTAAAAATATAAAAATCTTTTTTAACACATACAGAAATTTGAATTTTTTAAAACAGACAATATTTGATTTTTTTTGCAATAGACATAAAAATTTGAAAGTATTCATCATTTGATGTACAACTATCAAGTATTCATTTAACGGTATTCATCTGAAAGTATTCATCCCTAGATATTTATGATTTGTTGTTCATTCATTTGGTGTACACGTAAAAGTATTCACCAATTGGTGTACATGTAAAAGTATTCACCATTTGGTGTACATGTAAAAGTATTCACCATTTGGTGTACATGTAAAAGTATTCACCATTTGGTCACTGGTGTACACATATAGGTGTACACCAGTGTACACATAAAGGTGTACACCAGTGTACACATAAAGGTGTACACCAGTGTACACATAAAGGTATTCACCAGTATTCATGATTTGATATTCATTTATTTGATGTACACAATAAAGGTATTCACCATTTGGTGTACACCTGAAGATATTCACTCAACGGTATTCACCATTTATTTGGTGTACAACTATTAAGTATTCATAATTCAGTGTACAACTATTAAGTATTCACAATTCAGTGTACGACTGGATACATTCAATTGAATACCATGTCTAATGTATATAACTGAAACATACTGTCTTGAATGTTTGCAGTTTATAGAATAGATTTTGATTTGTTTTTCAAAAAATCATTTTTTTTATCCAATCATGATTTTGACAAAATTGATTTCTATTTTTTAAGAAAACTAGTTTTTAAAATAAATTCCAATTTGTAAACAAAAAACTATGGCCATGAATATTTGCATGGGTTTTAGTTTTTGGTTTCTGGTTTTAAACTTTTGATTTTTGATTTTTGAATTTTGGTTTTTTAAATTTTGGTTTTTGATTTTTCTGTAGATTTTTGTTTTCTAGAATCTTAAATGGTACGATTTGTTTAGTTTCTGATTTTCTTATCAATAATTTTTTTTCAAACGTTTCTATGCTTTTTAATTTTAATTTAATATTATGTGTTTAAAATTTACAAAAATAAATAAATAAAATTAAAGTTTCAAATCATATATTTTTCTAAGAAAATTAACTGAAAATAATAATAAATAAATAAAATGAGTAAAAGTTATAGATCTTTCTAGAGTAAAAGTTAGATATAAAAATGTACATAGGTAAAATGAGGTTATTTTAAAAATGAGATTTTGTTTTGCTTATACATTTTTTATTTTAGAAATATAATTTTTTCTCATAATTACTTATTGAAAAAAATAGCAGTATTTAAACAAAAATAAAGTAAATAACAAAAACTTACGAAACTTCTTTGAAAAAAAAAATTATGAAAAACTAGTTTTCCTATAATTTAAGAAATTCATTTTTTTCAAAAACTTGACTGGTTAATAAAATAGTTTTTTGAAAAACGAAAACTAAAATCTGTTAAAAAAACTGCAAACAATCAAGGCCTAAAATCTACTTTTAGGAGTTTTGTGTCAAGATTTTTTTTTGTTTAACACTATCCTATCCTATCCACCAATCAAGTTTTTCTAATTTCAAAATGTGTAGAAAAAAATTTATAAATTTTTTAAATCCTAAAATCTACTTTTTAGGAGTTTTAAGTCAAGATTTTTTTTTTTGTTTAACACTACCCTATCTTATCCACCATTCAAGTTTTTCTAATTTCAAAAGGTGTAGAAAAAAATCTATGAATTATTTAAATATATTTTATTATTATAAATAATATATAAGAGTGAATGAATTAAAAGAGAAAGAAAAAATAAAAAAGAGGAAAAAGAAAATAATATTTTTTAATAAATATATGTTTTTTTTCTCTCACACTATCTCTTTTTTTTTATTTTCTTCCTTTTGTTTTCTCTCTCTTCCTTTATTTTATTTAATACTTAATTTATCATAATGGCATAGAAATGTAAATAAACTGAACTTAGGAGGATAATATAGATATTAACACATAAAAACTACCCAAACACATCCATTTTTTCAAAACACACCCTTTTAGCAAATTAAAAACTTAAAACTACCATTTTGGCCAATTATCTCTTTTTTAAATAAGGCAAATATTATTTAGAATAAGATATCAAACTGCATTGAAATATTATTTCATTACTATTTACAAAGTTATTTAAAACGATTTTACGATTAAATTAAAAGTTAATTTCAAATTTATATTCATATCAGAATCAATTATTCACAATACACAAACTAAAAATTACTCTGTTTTAGTTCAATATTTTTTGTTAATGTGCTTAACTTCATTATTATCTAGGAGTGTTATACTATATATTATATTATCTTTCATTTGATAAAAAAATAGGCTACAAAAATTATAAAAACAACCATGTACAACAGTAGAGTTACAATAAACAAAAAGAAAAAAGAAAAAACATTCAAAAGTTTAAAAAGACACATAATACTCCCTATCATTATCTTATGACAGTAAATACCTAAAACGCCAAACATAATACATAACAAAATATTTTAAACTAAAAAAAAACTCTGAATAACACAAACAAATCATGTCTAAAATACGTAGAACAGTGACCAAAAGATCTTGAAACAATTTAAACAAAATTATTTTGATATTAACATCCACTTTATACTCTTTTTTTACAAACAATTAAATGCATACTCAATAAAAAAAAACAAACTACTATTATATTTTCAAAAAATCAAATAAAAAAATTAAATCAGGCGCGGGCAACTTAACTAGTTTGAGTGTAATAATAAGTATTTTCATTTGATTAAATGCATTTGTACGTATAAAGACATGATTTAGTATTTTGTGGGATTTAGAAGGAACAAAACAAATGCAGAGTCTGACCAAGATAATATATTTGTACACGCTAGCTGCTTTGGATCTGAACAAGAGAATATATTGAGCTCTGCTATTAGTTTTATGCATTCTCTTCTTTTGTTTTAAATTTTTCAGAGATGTTGCAAGTTATTTGTAAAAGGGGTCATTTTTGTTGAACACGGCATATATTTACAAATTGTTATTTGTGGAAATCTTTCTGGAACGAACTTCACGAGTGCATTTTGTAAAGCCAAATCTCTTGTGGATAAATCTTATCGGCCACAAAGTTGAGACCTACTGTTGAAGCGTGCTACACAAGTTACCTTAATATTCTGCTTGAGAAATTGTATAAATATACACCTTTTTCTACTTCATTTAAGGTTTGGGCACTTAATGAGAATTCTCAAGTAAATGACATTCTATTTGGTTTAAGTGTTAAATGTTAAATGATCGAAGTTAACTATTGACTCTGTAAACCGATAAGGAACCCGGTTAAGTGTTAGTTTCTGTAATTAATTGCTTAATTAGAGAGTACTATATATTTCTTGGACCTAATTGGTAGTTCAGTTTGGTTTAATATGGTTAATTGTTCAAAAGTCCATCGGTTAACCTAAGCTAGGCCAGTTATCCAATCAATTTTTACGAATCGGCAAATAAACCCAAGTCAAGTCAATCACATGACCAAATGACCGATAATTTTCTAAACCCATTTCTTACGGCATCATTTGGACCATAAAGAGGGACGGATGGCGAAAGCTTTAGTACGGTATCCACTAAAATAGGACGAGTTGGTTCGCTGACTGATTAATTCCAAACCCATTTCTCAAGGCATTTTTGGACATATATGTTTGTCTCCTTTTCTTTTTTGTCGTTGCTTTTGTATTTTCTAAAAGCTTTGTTTCGTGTCCACAAAAAGAAACTTTATTCACCATTTCACTCCTTTAATTAATTATCTTTGAAATAATTCATGGGAAGACTTGCCAAGTCAAGCTCCTCACAGAAAATGTTCTTATATAAACAGAAGTACTAAAGCAATACATGTCCATTACTTACCATTCAAAACAAAAATTATCTTTTATTTCCAAAAAAAAATGGTCATGATTCGAAGCCAATCTTATTGCGTTATTACTTTATATTCCTTCTTTTTCCTTCTTTCCTTACTAAACACATTTGCTTCTCCTACACGGTCCTTGTGCCGACGCGACCAAAGGGATGCTCTTTTGGAGCTTCAAATGGAGTTCCCTGCCTCTGCTGGCTATTCAATATATTCATGGAACAAAAGCCTCGATTGTTGTTCTTGGCCGGGTGTCCAGTGTGATGCTATCTTGGGAGAGGTGATTTCATTATCCCTCAGTTACTTTACTAATGCCAGCACCTCTTTGAAATCTAGCAGTAGTCTTTTTAAACTCCAACATCTTCAAGACCTAGATTTTTCAAATAGCAATCTCCAAGGGGAGATTCCTTCCTCCATTGGAAAATTTTTTGATCTCACATCTCTTGATCTTTCAAATAACAATTTCCAAGGGGAGATTCCTTCCTCAATTGGAAATCTTTCTCAACTCACATCTCTTGATCTTTCAAATTGTAATTTCCAAGGGGAGATTCCTTCTTCAATTGGAAATCTTTCTCAACTCATGTCTCTTGATCTTTCAAATTGCAATTTCCAAGGAAAGATTCCTTCCTCAATTGGAAAACTTTCTTATCTCAGATCTCTTGATCTTTCTTCTAATACATTAGTTGGTGAAATTCCGGTTTCAATCGGTAACCTAAACCAACTATTATCCATGAATCTTTCGGCTAATGATCTCAAAGGTAATATCCCTGCTTCATTTGCCAACTTAACGCAGCTTTCTAGTTTGGACCTAGTGGCAAATCAATTCACTGGTGGGGTAGATGTAGTATTAGCCAATTTAACAAGCTTGGCCTTAATAGATCTCTCCTACAATCACTTCAAATCCTCCCTTTCCGTTGACCTAAGTGGACTCCACAACTTGGTATTAATCATAGGGAATGAAAACTCATTTTCCGGACCTTTTCTCTCATCGTTGCTCATGATTTCTTCGCTACGCGAGATTTCCTTGAGCCGAAACCAAATGGAGGGACCTATTGATTTTGGGAATACCTCTTCAACATCAAACCTTGAAGTGTTAGATGTTAGCTACAACAAGTTTAACGGGCTAATCCCAAAATCTATATCGAAATTACGCAATCTCTATTCTTTATATCTTAGCCATAACAATTTCATAGGTTCAGTCCCGGGATCCTTATCAAAATTAGTCAACCTCTGCGCCTTTGACCTTTCCTACAATAAGTTGGAAGGTCTAGTACAAAATCATTTGTGGAGATCGTCTACCTTATCGTCTGTGAAACTTTCTCATAACTCTTTCACCAGCTTTGGAAAATCAGTAAAAGTTGCTGTCGATTTAGCATCAATACGTTATTTGGATCTTGCTTCAGGTTCACTCCAAGGACCATTTCCCCAATGGATCTGCAAGTTAATATCTTTATGGTCGTTGGATTTGTCAAACAACCATTTCACTGGCCCAATCCCTCAATGTTTGAAGAGTTTCACTTCACTTGTAGATTTAAATCTGCGAAACAACAGTTTCAGTGGATTTCTACCAGATTTATTCATAAATATCACTGTGTTACGATCACTTGATGTCAGCCACAACAATCTGGTGGGGAAGCTTCCAAAATCCTTGATCAATTGCACGAATATGGAGCTTCTGAATTTGAAAGGAAACAAGATCAAGGACACGTTTCCATTTTGGTTAGGATCTCTGCAAAGCTTGATGATTCTTGTGCTTCGATCAAATCAGTTCTATGGTCCACTGTCCTTTTTAGGGTTTCCAGGTTTGCGGATCATTGATATATCAAATAATGACTTCGTTGGATCATTGCCACACGAATTTTTCACCACGTGGCCTGGAATGTCATGGGATGATAATGACGATCCATATACGTGGGACCACGACTTTTATACTGGGCCTGGTACCCATCGATATTCAATGGAGTTGGCGTACAAAGGAGTAGACACTGATTTTGATAAGATTATTAAAGCATTCAAAGCCATTGATTTTTCTGGAAACCGGTTTCGCGGACAAATCCCTAGATCGATTGGCTTATTGAATGGATTACGTCTTCTCAACTTGTCAGGCAACGCATTCACAGGCAATATTCCACAATCCTTGGCGAACATTACAAATCTCGAGACATTGGACCTATCACGGAATCAATTGTCAGGTGAAATACCTCGAGTTCTTGGGAACCTCTCGTTTTTGTCCAACATCAACCTCTCACACAATCATCTACAAGGTTTGGTGCCACGTAGCACACAGTTTCAAACTCAGAAATGTTCTTCATTCATTGATAATCCTGGACTCTATGGCCTTGAAGAAATTTGTGAAGAGATCCATGTCCCCGTTCCTACATCGCAGCAACAAGAGGAATCTTTGTCTTCCGAACAGGAAGAGCCAGTGCTGAACTGGATAGCAGCTGCAATAGCATATGTACCAGGTGTGTTATGTGGATTAGTGATCGGACATATCTTCGCTTCATACAAACACGAGTGGCTCATGTCGATCTTCGGACGAAACTAGCCCACAAATATCACAAGTGCTCTTTAATCCTCTTCTCTCAAGATCTTGTCAAGGTTGTGCTCCACGGCTAAGTGGTTTGTTTGTCTTTGTAATTTCCTATTTGTATGTTTTCTTAATAAGTTGTAATGGTCTCAACATTTTGTAATTTAGTGTATGTTTTTTTTTTTAAGTAATCTAGTGTATGTTTATTGTATGCTAGTTCTCAGTCTCGTACAGAATCTCTATTAAATCATGTTTTATATTATATCCCATAGCCATCCATTCAAATATCCCTTGTTTGACTCTAATAATTATTATTTTCATTGAATAAATGCATATCTTTACATACATAAGCATGATTTAGTGTTATGTGGGAATTAAAAGGAGCAAAGCAGATGCATAGTCTGATCAAGAGAATATACTGTGCTGTCCAATTAGTTCTCTGCATTATCTTCTTTAGTTTCTTACTTCACATGACTTTTTAGTTAATATAAGATTTCCAAAAAAAAAAATTAAAAACCCAATACAAAATGCAATAGAAAGATAAAACCGTAAGGCAAACCAGAAAGACTTAAACACGAACTAGTCTTGGAATATCAAATAAGATAATGCATAGATGTGTGACAATTACAAGTCACACATGCTTCGTGCTTTCCTTTTGCGTCCTCCACCTTGTTGGATCCGAGCCAAACTTGGAACATAACTCAGAAGAACTGAGCAAGATGATGATGATAAGTAACTAGAATCTCCACCAATATTATCGCCCACAATGTGCGTGTGTGCGCGTTTATCTTTGCCCACGACGTGTAACGTGTTGTTGTCTTCCAAGTACATTACAACTTCGTTCTGCTCATCTACCAAAAAACTCATTCCATTAGAATACTTTTTACGTATATAACAATACACTCCTAGGGACTTGCTCCATGACCCGACTGATTCGGAAGTATTTGCCACCCACACTTGGAAATCATCGAGTCCAAGATTTCCCATCAAAGATTTGAAACCAGTACATAACAGACAAAGCTGCTCTTCGCCAACCACTGATAAAACCGCATTCATATAAGGAAACGGATGAGGAAGAGGAAGAGGAAGAGTTTGAAATCTCTCTGTTGAAAAATCAAAACTTAGTAAATAGTCAGCATGTGGCGTCCCTGCTTGAGTAGCAACCCAATAAGTATTCCCCTTCACAGATATGCCACGACGAGATAGTGCTAAAAACCAATCAATAGACACACCAACAACTCTCCACGAATTAGAGGTGAAGTCATAAATCTCGTACTCGTTCTTGATTGGTATATCTTGACGATCCACCCTCAATATTTTGTAGTTCTTGCAAGAAGAATTGTTGTCGTAACCGAGAGCATAGTAATCAGATGATGCCTTGTAGCTGACTCTAGGTTTAACCCACTTGGTTTCCCCTGAACATGGATTCCAAACCACGAGTCTACTGTCCTTGGTGGTGCATAGCAATAAGTCCTCGCAGTGAAATACGTTATATATCTCGACTTGTGAAGAATTGGAAAGAGGATCTTTAAGGTATAATTCAGCTGCAACCTTTGCTGATGGATCATGGAGATTGATCCTTACTAACCAAACCCTAGAATCAATTAACATGATATTCAGAGACTCCTCCTTTGGTGCTTTAGCAGTGTGCATCTTAGCAAAGCTCATACTTTTCAATAGAGCGTTCCATCCTTTGCATGTGGATCGCAATCGTGCTACAGATTTAGCTGGAACCCTAGAAAGTATCTCCTCTGCCAAATCCCAAGGAAGGCTTCTCGACTCCATAGATACTGTGTGATTAAATAACTTTGCCAATCAAAAATATTTAATACGAGAGCGAGAGATCGATGGAGAGCGATGGAGAGAAAGCTTACAGCCGGGAAAGACCTAATTTCCCAATTATATTTCGGTCTTCTATTTAGAAAACTGAGCCAAGAAAGACAATTTAATAATATTTGCACTAATTAGTATTTAATAATGCGTATACGATATTGTAAAAGTTTCTAAAACAAAAAAGGATTTTAGGCAACGTCAAAATAAATAAAGAAATTAACAAAAAAAAAAAGCTTGTCAAAAGGAAACTCTTTCTGGTTCAAAAGAGTGGAAGTACTCTTCTTAGTAAAATCATCTCCTCTAAGATGAGATATTGCAGCGCGATCGAATAACTACATATTTTTGAATATTTTGAGTATTTTGGTTAGTTTAATTTAAATAAAATTAATATATTTGGTTTATAATTATAATTTTGAGTATTTTGATTATCTCAAATCTATGTATACATATTATTTTTGATACATAATTTTATGAATGTTATAATTTTTATATATAACATTCACGGTTCTACTGTGTCTAGAATTTGTTATATACGAATAAAGTATCAAAATATTAGGGCTCATTTTTTATCTGGACTAACATGCTTAAACCCACTTATGCTAAACCTTTATATAATGTAGTATACATAGAGAAATGAAATGCAAACATCTACTAATTTGTGTGGCAATGTTGTACATAATCCAATTTAGTTTACTTAACATAATTTTATAAATTTTATTATAAACTAAAAAATATAAATCTTAAAAAAATATAAAAAAACATATAAATATATAACAAAAAACTATATACACATAATAAAAATTAAAGATATTACAAAATTTACTCTAAAAAGTATATCTAAATACACAAATAAATCTCTAACTCATAATACAAAATTTAAATATAAAAAGCTATATTGTTAAACACCAGAATATTATTTAAATTATATTAAAAAAAAGTGGAAAAATAAAGAAATAATTTCTATGTGGATGCACATGTTAGAATCTAGTGATATTAAAAAAAAAACGTTATAACACTTTCTTATTGCCTTCTCTATTTATTTTTCTATAATTTTTTTATGAGAAAAACAAAAACAAAAAACTGGCAAATTAATTTTAAATAAAATCCAATGTTATTGAAACATAAAATACGGACAAACAAGAAAATCTTAAACATGAAACAATATGAAAGTTTCTAAAGAAACGCATGTAAACGAGACTTGAATGGCAATTACAAGTCACTTGCTCGGTGCTTTCCTTTTGCGTCCTCCAAGAGGTGCACCTAGTTGGATTTGAGCCAAACTTGTAACATAATTCAAAAGAACCGAAGAAGATGGTATGCATGTAGAATCTCCACCAAGATGCTCCTCTAGTATGTGTTTATTTTCTCTCACAATGTTTAAGATGTTGTCGGGGTTCAAAAACATTACAACTTTGTTCTGTTCGTCTTCCAAGAAACTCATCCCCTTACAAAAATCACATATATATATATATATATATATATATCTGATCTCTCTCATAGTTTTTGTCCACTGCTAGGGATTTGTTCCATGATCCGGTTAAAGTTGTCACCCATACTTGTAAACCTGATGGATATTCCTCCTCATCTATCAAATTCTTCTTGTCAAAGCCAGTACCTAACTGACTAAGTCACTAAGGTGTGCTCTTCTCTACCCACTGATAAAGCCGATATACTATGCGGAAAAGGATGAGGAATAGATAGACTTTGAAACATCTCGGTTGAATAATCAAAAGTTAGTAAGAAATCATGATGTGGACGCCCTGCTTGAGTAGCTACCCAATAAGTATTCCCCTCAAAGATATGCCACAACGATATAGTGCTAAAAACCAATCAGTAGCCACACCAAGAACTCTCCACGAATTAGAGGTAAAATCATAAATCTCGTACTCGTTCTTGATTGGTATGTCTTGATCCACCCTCAAAATTTTATATTGCTTGCAGGAAGATTTGCTGTCATAACCGAGAGCATAGTAGTCAGATTCTTTATAACAGTCTCTAGGTTTAACCCACGTGGTTTCCCCTAAACATGGATTCCAAACCACGAGTCTATTGTCCTCGGTGGTGCATAGCAATAGGCCGTCGCAGTGAAATACGTTACGTATATCGACTTGTGAAGAACTAAATAAGGGATCTTTAAGGTATAACTGAGGTGCTACCTTAACAGATGGAGCAACCTTGTTGCCGTGAATTGCACGGAAGTCGATCCTCACTAAGCAAACCCTAGAATCAATCAAACTTATAACCAGAGACTCCTCATTTGGTGCTTTATCAGAATGTATCTTAGCAAAGCTCCCAGATTTCAATAGAGCGTTCCATTGTTTCGATGTTGAACGCAATCGTGCTACTGATTTAGCCCGTAACCTAGAGAGTATCTCTTCTGCCACATCCACCGGGAGGCTTTTCTACTCCATAGCTACTGTGTGATTATATAACTTTCCGAATCAAAAATCTAAGGAGAGAGAGAGAGAGATGTAAAAATCTGATGTAAAAATTTCAAGGCCCTTCAAGTCAACCGGTCAAAGTCAACCCTCTGACCTTACAAACGGATAAGGAAATTAGTTATTTTGGGTAATTAATGCTTAATTAGAGTATTCTTTGGTACTAATTGGTGGTTCGGCTAACTATGGTTAGGTAAATGGGAAAATTTAAGATAAAAAATAGAAGAATTTGTCTCTTTAGTACTTTTTTAAAAAAATTTGTCTCTTTAATACTTATGTCAATTATAATCCTCTTTTGCCCCTAAAAAATGACTTTTCTTATATTAATATAATCATGAATAGAAATTAAAAAAAAAATCATAATACAATTTTCTCACAAAAATTGGAACCATCGTCTTCCTCAAAATTGGAACCATCGTTTTCTCCGCTCTCTCTCAATCGAGTTTCCAGCAGAGTCCTTCTTCAATTATTATCAATCTTCTCATCCAATTGGTAATCTGTTCAATCTATTCACTCTATCTTTTGTTCAATCTCAATATTAGGGTTTAAAATCCCAAATTGATTTTGGGTAACTTTGTATACAGGCTGAGATATATCGGCGATAAGCAGTCATCGCTATCAGAGAAAAATACGATGCCGGTCCTAGCTCCGTCTCCATAGCTCCGGCGAGAAGAAGTCTTCACTCGCTGTTCATCATCCGTCGCTGTTCCCGTCGCTGAGGCTTCCGAGAAGTTCTCTAACTCGTCAACCGGCAAAAAGTAAGCTGTTTTCCTCTTAATTTTCTGTTTAGCATCCATTGTGAACATTGTATCATCCTTTGACTGAAAATGGTCACATTGTTAACTTGGTTTTTGGAGGCAACATTGTCGTATAACTTGTGAGAAAATTCACAAGAGATATAAACTCTGTTTTTCCTCTGACTTTGAAAAATTCTCGGCGATTGATTTAGTATACCAAGGAATACTAATTTTTGACAATGGTAGTTTGGCTTTCTAACTTGTGACAGTGCTAGTTTGGCTGTCTAACTTGTGACAATGGTAGTATGTCTTGAGTATGTGATGCTTAAGTTTGATTTTTATTTAAGTACGTGATGATTATGTTTGGTATTCTTGCCTGTGGGTAATGCTTTGATCAATATGTTTCCTGTTTTAACCATATTTTCTTGTTTCCTCCTTGAGCTTTTGGCTTTGTTCATTTGAAAGAACACATTTTTTGTCCTCGTTTTATTCTTGTTTTCGAAAAATATTTTTTTTATAAGTTTGAATCAACCTTGAACAAACATTGGAAAACCAGGTGTTGAAAATTTTCTTGAGTTGCGTTACTTTCTGTTTCAGACATTTGATTAGTTGTGTGTTTGTAATTCGTGGCTATTGGGTTCTGTCATCTTTGGTTGTTTGCGTGATGAGTTGGAATAATATAGTAATGAGTTGTTGATCATACATAAGTTTTCATCAGTTTCGTAAGACATTCTCAGCTTATGTGTAAACTCTTTAATGAAAACATTTCTAGTTTGAAGTGTTATCATGCTATTCTTTATTTATAGTGATACTAACATAAGATTTTGTATACTTTGTAGGTATGAACTCCAACGAGTTACCGAAACTGCTGTTTCCGCCTCGAAGTGTGCCTCCGATTGAGAAGATTACCAACCAATGTTCATTATCCATTCTAAGGCAGTTGGATAAAAAGCTTCCAGATGAATACAAGAAATTTTTGCAAGATCATGTCTTCGGTCCGATTCTTAGGATTAATACAAACAGACTTGGCTACTCGGCGAGACTCATAACATAGTTTCATGTATAAGCAGCTCATCACAGACAAGATTCACGAGCTATGGTTTGTCTTTGCTGGGAGACCTTTGCGATTTTCTTTCCAGGAATTCCATGCAATCACCGGGCTCAACTATAAAGACCCTGGGAACTGCAACTTCAAAACATGGAAAGATGATGGCGGTTTCTGGAGTTCTGTGCTCAGAAATAATGGAGGAGTAACCCTCGATTAATTGCTGAAGGTGCACCTACAGCAAGTGAACACATGGACACGCGAGGATAGATTGAGGCTGATCTACATCTGTACAATTGCGGGGTTTGTGATGGCGCAGGATGCACAGATTTTAATTCCGCGTGAATACATCATTTTAGCGATGGATATAACGAAGCTCCAGAAGTACCCGTGGGGTATTCATGCGTATGATCACCTGGTCGACAGCGTCATTAAGACACGTGAGAAGCTGAGTCAGATGAAAGGGTATCATTTAGACGGGTTTTCTATAGCTCTTCAGATTTGGGTAATGGAAGCAATCCCAGATTTCGGTACGTTGTTGGCCACAAGAGTTGGGACTGAAGACACTTTTATTCCTCGGTGCACTAAGTGGAAAGAAATTGCTAGAGTGTCATACAATGACATTAGTCAACTGGAAAGCACCTTTAAATCACATGTAAGTAGTCTTATTTACTTTGCAAAAAGTTTATACGTTTGTTTCTAACAAATGACGTTGGTTTTTATCATTTTTTGCTTGTAGCATTTGCTTTTTCCATATATTTCAGCTACCAGGAATTGTGATGTAGTCGACTCGTCAGATTTCTTGCGGCTTGATGAGATGAATGATGGTAGAGTAGATGTCATGAAGAGCCTGATTTCTTAGGAGACGGATTGGAGTGTTCAAATCTGGGAAGTTGAGGATGCCAATATCGTGAATGAATAAACAGATAGCGAGCAAGATAATGCTAATTTGGAGTCCGAGAAAGAGCAAGACGATGAGGCTGTCAATGGTGAAAGTGAGATTGGGATACCAAATGGTGTAGGAAGCTCAGCTTCTGGTTCAGCTCGTGGGAAAAAACGGATTGGTGATTACGCAGCAACAGCACGCAAACAGAAGCTGTTGTGTGAAAGATCAAGGGAAAGCATGAAAGTTCCGGACGACGACATAAAGACTTGGATTCAAAGTATGTTCAATGCTTCGATCACTGCTTTGGAGGAGAGGATTGAGAAAAAAATTGATGAAAAGCTGAACCAAATAGAGAACCAAATCACATTGTCCATGGAGAAGCTGAATAACTCATTCAATGTTGCTGGTATACCCAAAAAAACCAGTGACACATCAACAAGCAATGAAACACCCGTTGTCAACACTTCTCCACCTATACGTAAGTCTCCGCGTGTGAACAATCCAGAGCCTGCAAAAACGGTAAGGAAGACGAGAAACTCTAAAAACTAAATTACTTTTTGTGTTTGTGTGTTATTGTTGTTTTTTTTACTGTGTAATTTCATTTGTAAGAGGGTTGTAACATAAATATGTAAATTATCATCACATAGGTTGGCTTGTAGAATTTTTTCATCACATAAATATGTAATAGGGTTGTAACATAATTGTAATACAACACTTGCACCTCTTAGTTATGTTAATGAATTACATCGCATATATTGGCTTGTAGACTTTTTATTTTTTTCTCCTTTTGATACCAGGCTGTGAATATTGATGGAGAACGCTTGGATTTTGATGATTTATCGTTTAGTCAGATTCCAGAATTGGATTTACGAATGGGTACCCAAGAATTTCTTCAGAAAACAATGGGCCATCTTAGTCAAGATACAGTTGTTGACGGATTATTTCCAACGCAGACATCGATGGGCCTTACCAAAATTTCGAGTCCAAAAACAGTAGGGAAAAAGTCAACCAGAACACCTTTCACGATCCCACATTTGAAAGATTCGAACCCACAAGACTTAGCTGATAATGCATTAGTCTACGTGCCTGATGATTCTTGGGACAATTTTTTTACATGGTCAATGTCTCCCATGTAAGTTGTGTAATTTTTTTGTTTTAAACAGCCAAATTATTTTTGTTCTAAGCTAAAGTTTATCTTCATTTTCCCAATACTTTTTCACACATTTCAGGGATATGCCGTTTGGTCCAGTCACGTTTTCATTTGAATTAGCGCATCACATATTTGGATCAAAAAATTGGCTTCGCACACCTGTAAGTTGTTCAATAAAATTAAGGATATTTGACTTACCAGGTATATAACATAGTAAAGGTTTAATCATTCCGCAGGATATGGATGCAGTCATGTACTTGTTTTGGGAAAACACCATTTTGTGTCGGTGGATACCAGATCGAGTTGCCTTTATGAACTGCCTATTCGCTGAGCAGATCATTGGCGAGTACCGTAAATTCCTGACATGTAAGAGGGGATTCAAACTGAGTGACTGGATCTTACACTACAGAACTGGTGAACTACCATCACATGAAAGAACAAGAAAAACATGGGATATAGATATTGATCGTCTTTACACTCCAATGAACGTCAACAACAATCACTGGATATCATTGTGTATCAACTTCAAGTTGAGAACGATTGAAGTGTTCGATTGTGGAGGTTCGAAACACATTACGAATATAGAAGCATTCGCTGTTATCATCCCAAAGATAGTCAAGGAAGTGCAGGCTCCAAAGAACAAGAAACATCTGAAAGTTGTACCATACTCGGTGTTGTACACTCCAATGAAGCCGAAGATAAACAAGAGTCAAAACGATTGTGGAGTCTACGCATTGAAATTCATTGAGTGCCACTTGTTTGGACATAGCTTCACTATGCTCGACGACGAGAACATTAAGATGGCTCGGTTGAAGATTGTATGTGATCTTTGGCATGCAGCACAGGATCTGGTACTAATCGAACGAATGTCGAGGTATGAACCGACACCAGCAACGGAGAGTGAAATTGTAGAGATTTGAAGGATTTTGTTTTCTTATGGTGAACAATGTTTTCGGTATCTTTTAATTAGATTTAGTTTAGGCCTATGGTCTTGTAGAACATGTCAGAAGATTAATCACCAACCACTGAATGACTAACTTCATTTTATTTGGAAGAAGCTTTGTTTAGTTTGCATTTACCTGTATATAGGCGAGAATTTATAGACTTTAATTGAAACAAAAAAACAAGTCGTTGAATGTGATCACAAAGAAAACCAACAAAACAACTGATGGGAGAGCGTGAAAGAGCACCAATTAAACATCTAAAATATAGTATAAAAAAAAGCACCCAACCACACAAATTTCAGACCAGAAAACAATTTTCTTTACTTTTGCCTCCATCTTCTTCTGGTGATCGACAAGATTGTCGATCTTCTCCATCAAATTCTTTTCTTTTTGAAGAATTTTTTTCATTTCTTGATCAAAGACCTCCTGATTTTCCATGATGACATCAAACTCTTCTAGCCTGGCTTCATTCACCCATTTAAAAACGTGGCCATAGTCACCCTAATACAAAATAAAATTCAATTTTAAAAAGAAACATCTTGAATCCCTAACATAAATCATAAAAATTGTCCAAACTTTTTTAGAAGCAACACATTTGTAAAATTTTCTATTAGGATTCTTTGCAGTAGTTGACATACAAATTATGGTTTTCTCCTTACATACACATTTTCTGGGAATACCCTTCTTTGGTTTGATCGTTGATCCAGTTGAGATGTAACTCATTTTACTATTCAAAACAAATAGATCAAATCAGAGTAATCAATGGAATTTGTGGAGACAGATGAAATCAAAACAGAAAGCATATGTATATACCTTTGATCTTGAGTTAAATCTGATTAACAATGGTTCTGGGGTCGGCGATGAGATAAAAGAGACTGACTATTAGAGATGAATCGCGGGACCTGAATTTAGGGAATTACAGAATTCTGAGATATTTAAAAAAAAAAAAGTTGGCATCAGATGCGAATCGAACACACGAGCGTATAGTAGGAGTGACAGTACGTAACCGGCGGTACTATGCACCTCATTCGATTAATCTCAAAATTTATTTTTATTTATCCTTAACGCATACAGTTTTGTTTTTTTTTTTCATGCTTACGTCGCAGTCAAATTGAAACCGATATTTCTTAACAATTAGCACCCTGCAGTAAACGTTCTGCTGTCATATGACATAACCAAACAGATTTAAATGTCTAAAACCAACAAAGTGTTCATGGATAAAACCAACAAAGTGTCGCAAAAAAAACTCAAACGAGCAAAGAAAACAAAATTCAAACGACCATAAGTGTTGCATCATGCAAACTAAAAAATAAAAGTAGTCTATATTGGTATGTCACATGTCCCTCTCTTGTGACCTGCAACACCACACCGGCTACACTTGTGTTTACTAGATCCTTGAGATCCTTGTGAGGAGCGTATCTTGTCCTCCATCGTTTTGTATCGTCGCTTTTTTCTTCGACCAGCTGCTCTTCGTGTTTCTGGTGGTAGAACTCTGGCGTGTTCCACATCCAACAGAACTTGCCATGAATCCTCAGGAACACCTATTGGATTAATGCATTCCTCGTAAGCCTTTCTCCATGTTGTAGTAGTGTACATGTCATCAGTTAGTGGGTGTAGTTCTTTGTCCACTGAAAAAACTGTTTTAATGGCATGTCTGCAAGGAATTTTCAGCAAGTTGTACTTTCCACAAGAACACGATCTAAGCTCCAAATCAACCAAGCAGTCGATTTTGTCACCTCTAACAAGAAACTGATTCTGGTTAACCGGATAAACAATAAATGTTTTACCCTTTTCAATCCTCCTACCAATTTTTTTCTCAACCTCAATGGTTAAAGGGTCCTTATGCTTTGCGCTTAATCGTCCACGATCGTAAAACCACTTGGTCAACAGTTCTCTGATGTTGTCCAACAAAGGTATTATTGGATACTCTCTAGGTGATCTCAATGCAGCATTCATCGATTCGGCTGGGTTAGTGGTTCTAACATCATATCTGAATCCTGGAAATTTGCAACGAGCCCACTTTTCGACACCAGCTTCAACCAGATAATTTCCAACAAGCGGACTAATATTCTTAATATCGTTGAACTTCCTCTCAAAATCAGCAACTCGATATTCTTTTGATGCCTTTGCAATCAAACCAGTCAAACCCTTTGTCTTGAAAAATGTGACAACGTTATTCAACAAATGGTGGATGCAAATTCCATGTGTAGATTGTGTAAACACTTTAGCTAGTACTTTAAGGACAGAAGTGTTTCGATCAGAAATAAACGCCAACGACTGATCATCTGCGATGACTGTGTTAAGTTGCCTTAGAAACCATTCCCACGACAAGTCGTTCTCTGAATCAACAACACCAAAAGCAATTGGATACAGATTCGAGTTACCATCTAAAGCTGTAGCAACGAGCAGAACTCCCTTGTATTTACCTTTCAGAAAAGTACCAACGTTAACTATAACTCTACGAATAGCTTGGTAGAATCCTCTGATTGATTGCCCAAATGAAATAAATAGATACTTAAATCTATCATCAGAATCAGTTAAGTAGTGAGTATGCGTACCTGGATTGGCTTCTTTCAACATGTGCAAGTATTTTGGAATTTTGCCATAACTTTTTTCTGGAATACCTCTTACAGCATTTTCTGCATACTCTTTGGACTCCCATGCTTGATCGTACGAGATCTCGCAACCATGTTCTGTGCGCATAATCTGTATAATTTCTCTTAGTTTAGGCCTTTCTTTAACACACTCATACTTCTGCATAATCAGATTACCGATTGTCTTAGCTGACGCTGTCCTAGCTATTTTGTTTTTCCTAGATGGCGCACAAGTATGTTCAGCTACATACTTGTTGATTTTAAAATACGTTGACCCTCTAGACACTCTGCGCGAACACGCCAATTACATTCACCATCTTTGCAGCGAATAGACCACCATTTTTTTGTTGATTGTATCACACTGTAGTCAAAGTTATGCTTCATAGCACAGATTTCAAAAGTAGCTTTCAGTTCGCTTTTGTTTCTGAAATTTTGTCCCTTTGTTACTGCTTCAACCATCCAAAACCGACCTCCCTTGTTACTTACTTCTTCAGTATTGCAAATCAGGACATCATATCCAGAGACGACCTCATCTTAGCTTTCACGCAAATTGGTTTTTGAGACATGTTTCCGCTGATCAGTAAAAACTTGTTCTGACTTTCCTATCACAGTGTGATCGACGTCTTCAGCACTATGTGGATAATAGGGCTCTTCATTCAAATCAAATTTTATACCTTGATTCTGTACTTACGATGTAAACGACACACAAAGACGTGTAGACGCATTTTTTTGCATAACCAACGAAATTTTTCAGTTGCCGATCATTTGTGATAATCATCGGTGGAGAGCTTAAGTTGTCAACCAAATTGCTCGGTACATAACTGAACTCGGCACTGTGGTCGACAATTCCAAAGTCCTCTAACACCATAGTTGTTAACTCAGCCAGAGTCGTACTAGATTCCAAAGTTACTAATCGACCTCTTTTTTCTTCATCGACTTCAAAAATCCAATTTTTATTGAGAATCGATCTCCATATACCACAGATAACATAGATATGCACCATAATTGAATAACCAGAATAGAAACACAGAAAACTGTAATTAGGGTAGAAATCTCGTGAAAATAAAATATGTTAAAAACGTGAAAAACAGAAAAGGAAAATAAAATATTTTCAAATATTTAATTTTTGTTGGATAACACCTGATCCTAGATTTTTTCAGATTTTATTAACTGTTTAGTAGAATACGGATTCTATATTCACTAGAACGAAGACAAATAAGTAGAAGTCTAATTCTAGAAAACATAGAATACATAACGATTTCTAGAATACATATTCTAGAATGTGTAGAATATATTATGAATTCTAGATAACGTATTCTACACGATGTTATAGAAAACAAAACAAATAGTAGAATATGTATTCTATACTCGGTAGATCTTATACCATATACTAGAAATCAAATTCTATAAAACTCTAGAAATGTAGAAAACGTTTTCTAGAACATATTAATAAATATATTTTAAATATATGTATTTCCTTAAACGATGTTTTAAAATAATATTCTTTCCTTTTTTAGAATTTATGAAATTTAAATGTATTTATAATTATTTATTTCGAAATATAACAATATTTAATAAGGTCATTTTTGTCCAAAATTGACAAAACTCAAAAAAATACTAAAGGGACAAAGCTTTCTATTTTTTGTCCTATATTTCCAATTTTCCCTAGATAAATTGTTCAAGAATATACGATATGTTGGTTTTGCAGAAAAAAGTACTCTTTACTCATACCTTCATCAACCATCATCCACATAGTTACATGTATTACTAAAAGAAGTTTTTATTGGAATCATTCGAATGCTACTTAAATAATCCAAGCTAAGTCAACTATTTTTAAAAATTTTGTAGTTTCTTACTTCACCTGAATTCCATTGAATACAACGGAGGAGCTGACAGAATTTTGAGTCCACAAACAAAAATGAATAAAAACCACAAGCAAAATCCGATAGAAAGATAAAACCGTAGGCAAACCATAAATCTTAATCTTTTTTTCTTGTATTTTTTTTGCTAAACGTTTAAACATGAACAAGACTTGGATTATCCGATAGATAATGCATAGATTAGTAAGACAATTACAAGTCACACGTGCTTGGTGTTTTCCTTTTGCGTCCTCTACCTTGTTGGATCTGAGCCAAACTTGGAACATAATTCAGAAGAACTGAGCAAGATGATGATATGCTTGTAGAATCTCCACCAATATTATCCCCCTTAATGTGTGTGTTTGTGTATTTGTCTTTGCACAGGATGTGTAAGATGTTGTTGTCTCTCAAATACATTACAACTTCGTTCTGCTTGTCTACCAAAAAAACTCATCACATTATAGTACTTTTTATCTCTATAAAAACCCACTGCTAGGGACTTGCTATGCTCAACTGATCCGGTACTATTTGGCACCCATACTTTGCTATCAGTACATAATAGACAAATCTGCTCTTCTCCAACCACTGATAAAGCCGCATTCACATAAGGAAACGGATGAGGAAGAGGAAGAGACATACTTTGAAATCTCTCTGTTGAAAAATCAAAACTTAGTAAAAACCAAGCATGTGGCGTCCCTGCTTGAGTAGCAACCCACTAAGTAATTCCCTTCACAGATATGCCACGACGATATTCTCCTAAAAACCAGTCAGTAGCCACACCACCAACTCTCCACGAATTAGAGATGAAGTCATAAATCTCGTACTCATTGTTGATTGGTATATCTTGACGATCCACCTCAAGATTTTGTATTTCTTGCACGAAGAATTGTTGTCGTAACCGAGAGCATAGTAGTCGGATTCATTGTAGCTGTCTCTAGGTGTAACCCACCTAGTTCACCGAACATGGATTTCAAACCACGAGTCTATTGTCTTTGGTGGTGCATAGCAATAAACCGTCGCAGTGAAAGACTTCATGTATGTTCACTTGTGAAGAATTAGAAAGGGGAACTTTTAGGTATAATTGAGATGCAACCTTAGCGGATGGAGCAACCTTCTTGTATCCTCACTAATCAAACCTTAGAATGAATCAACATGATAACCAGAGACTCCTCCTTTGGTGCTTTAACCAGAGTGTATCTTTGATCCAGGTTGACCCAGTGATCCGGCAACTCGAAGAACACTCCGAGTCATTATCCGGGTTGGGTTTAAAAACATTGGTTAGTTGTTCAAGAATCTCTCTGTTAACCTAAGCCAGACCACTTATCGGATCAGAAATCAGTAAATAAACTTAAGTCAAGTCAACCATATGACCCGAGGACCGGTTAACTATGTAAACCTATTTCTTACGGTCTTAGTTAGACCATAAAGAGGGATCAATGGCGAAAGCTTTAGTATGGTGTCCACTAAAATAGGAGTGGGTTCGCTGGCTGATACATTCAAACCCCATTTCTTAGGGCATTAATTACTGTACATCTCTGTCCAAAAAAACACACACATATCATATTGTTATACGCATCACTATTGTTAAAAAATCCTTGTAAGTATTAATTATTAAATATGAATTTAGAGACAAAAAGATATAGCCTATAGCACATCGCATTATGCAGTCACTTTAAGCTATGGTTTCTTATTTCTTAGTCCTAAATTTGTGGATTTGCTATAAAGAAAACAGCTATAATTCATCAGTCCTTAAGGTTATCAATAACGTCGAGATTTTATGGACTAAAGAAGGTTCGTTGGTTCATTTGGTGAGAGAGAAAGAACATGATGCTTTATAAAAAAAATAAAGAAACACGTTATAACACTTTCATATTACCTTCTCTATCTATTTTTCTATAGTTTTTTTATGAGAAAAACAAAAACAAAAAACTGGCAAGTTAACTTTTTCTAAAATCCAATGCTATTGAAATATAAAATACGGACACAAACAAGAAAATCTTAAACCTGAAACGATTGGAAAGTTCCTAAAGAAACACATGTAAACGAGACTTGGATAGATTAGTGTGACAATGCCAAGTCACTTGTTCCGTGCTTTCCTTTTGCGTCCTCCAAGAGGTGCACCTAGTTGGATTTGAGCCAAACTTGGAACGTAATTCAAAAGAACTGAGGAAGAAGATAGGCATGTAGAATCGTCACCAAGATACTCCTCTAGTATGTGTTTGTTTCCTCTCACACTTCAAATACATTACAACTTTGTTCTGTTCGTCTTCCAAGAAACTCATCCCCTTACAAAAATCACATATATATATCTGATCTCTCTCATAGTTTCTTTCCACTGCTAGGGATTTGTTCCATGATCCGGTTAAAGTTGTCACCCATACTTGTAAACCTGATGGATATTCCTCCTCATCTATCAAATTCTTCTTGTCAAAGCCAGTACTTAACAGACTAAGTCACTAAGGTGTGCTCTTCTCTACCCACTGATAAAGCCGATATACTATGCGGAAAAGGATGAGGAATAGATAGACTTTGAAACATCTCGGTTGAATAATCAAAAGTTAGTAAGAAATCATGATGTGGACGCCCTGCTTGAGTAGCTACCCAATAAGTATTCCCCTCAAAGATATGCCACAACGATATAGTGCTAAAAACCAATCAGTAGCCACACCAAGAACTCTCCACGAATTAGAGGTAAAATCATAAATCTCGTACTCGTTCTTGATTGGTATATCTTGACGATCCACCCTCAAAATTATATATTGCTTGCAGGAAGATTTGCTGTCATAACGGAGAGCATAGTAGTCAGATTCTTTATATAACAGTCTCTAGGTTTAACCCACGTGGTTTCCCCTAAACATGGATTCCAAACCACGAGTCTATTGTCCTCGGTGGTGCATAGCAATAGGCCGTCGCAGTGAAATACGTTACATATATAGACTTGTGAAGAACTAGAAAAGGGATCTTTAAGGTAGAACTGAGGTTCTACCTTAAGAGATGGAGCAATCTTGTTGCCGTGAAATGCACGGAAGTCCATCCTCACTAAGCAAATCTAGAATCAATCAAACTTATAACCAGAGACTCCTCCTTTAGTGCTTTATCAGAATGTATCTTAGCAAAGCTCTCAGATTTCAATAGAGCATTCCATTGTTTCGATGTTGAGCGCAATCGTGCTACAGTTTTAGCCGGAATCCTAGAGAGTATCTCTTCTGCCACATCCACCGGAAGGCTTCTCCAGTACTCCATAGCTACTGTGTGATTATATAACTTTTGCGAATCAAGAATCTCTAAGCGATGGAGAGAGAGAGGGAGAGATGGAGAGAGAGAGGGAGAGATGGAGAGGGAGAGAGAGAGAGAGAGAGAGAGAGAGAGAGAGAGAGAGAGATTCACGTTCAGGAAAATTGAAAATTGAGACAAGAAAGACAATTTAACATTTTTGCACGAATAAGTATATCTAATAGTGCAATTACGATATTGCAAAAGTTCCTAAAAACAACAAGAATTTTAGGCAATGGGTGAAGGGGTGAAAAGAATGTCAAATATCTTGAATATACAATATGTCACTTAAAGTATCCATCAATTTTCTCCTCTAAGATGTTGTTTCAAAAGCACTCAATAAGCTTGCAAAACCTTTTTCACCACTTGTCATGGAAACACCACAAAGAAAAAGAGAGAGAATAAACTTACTCACTTGGCATGAATTATAGCATTGTGGCAGAGAGGAAGAGTCTGCACCATCGCCATGTCTCTAGCCCTTCAATTTCCTAATCGAAGAACTTAAAGTCAGTGAAAATTCAGGAATTTCAATTACTTGACCCCGAAGTAACCTATAATATAATTGTAGTTACATAATCATCAGCCACATATCTTTAATTACATACCTCACAAAAAACGGACAGTGATTTATTGAACCATTCGCTATTTAAATCCAAGCTAAGTAAATATAAGTTTTCTAGGGATTTATGATATCGGCTATGTCTTACTTAGTCTGCATTTAATCAAAGACAAATGAGTAGGGGTCGATTCCCTTAGAATATTTGAGTCTACAAAAGAAAAACCTAACAGAGATATATACATCGCCAATTAATGGTCGACATGGTTGTATATGCTTCTCAGATATCAAATTTTAACATTATCTCTAGAAAATCCATGTACCTCTAGTTTGAGTCTAACAATTATTATTTAAATTGATTGAATGCATATATACATACGATTTAGTATTATGTTGGAATTCGAAGGTGCAAAGAGCAGATGTAGAATCTCTGTTTAATACAGAGAACCAGAAACAGAGAAGATAAACACAGAAGAAACAGAGAACCAAACGGATGCAGAGTCTCTGTTTCAAAGAACTTGTCGTTGACATCTCGTGTATACAATTGTTATTTGTGGTAATCTTTGTACAATAATATTCACGAGTGGCTTTCGTGAGGCCGAATCTCTTTTAGAAAAATCTTATCGGCCACAAAGTTGAGACCTACTGCTGCAGCGTGCTATACAAGTAACTACAAGGATTATGCTTGAGAAATTGTATAAAGAGACACATACTTCTACTATATATAATTTAAAGTTTGTCAATTGATGATAAATTCTATATATTAAATGAAAATGTAGTTTAATGAAAAAAATTGTAGGTGTTTTAAATTGATTGGTTTTAAAAAAAAATCTTTACTTATGTCAATGATGACATTTATTCCACGTCAAATGTGACATGGTAAATATGTTCATGTGGACAATTTTGATTGGTTTCTGTTTAATGAGAAAAATATAATCAAATTAATTATCTATATACTTATTTGTGTAGTGATTTGCTTACGTGTCGTGCTCACAGCGAGTTTCACAACCTCTCGCTTACGTGTCAGCTCCAGAATTAGTTTCGGCTGTAAAAAGATATTTTTATCCTATTTACCGATTATGTGTCATTTTTTGATTGGTTATTATCTTTTGATGTGTCAAAATAACTTAAAACAAACCGGTATAAATTATTATGGTTTAATGTCTAATTTTGCTGTAAAAATAAACCGTTTTTGAAATTATATATAACCGAATTTTATAAAATAACTAACCAAAAACGTTTTTACATAAAAAAAATTCATAAAACGTTTTTCTTAAATGTTTACCATTTTTTATGTTAACAAAATGCTTCTAAGGGTGTCCACATAGGATTTAAAAAGGCAATTTTATTGGTGCATATCAGCAATCAGAATTAAGGAAAGTTTACAAATTTTAATATTATTACTGAATAAGGAAATTAAGAAGATTTACAAATTCTAATTATTGCTGAATATAAAAATTCTATATAAATTTTTTATTGGTTCACCTCAATATTGAAAATTAATTTTTTTTTTTCAAATTCCATTATTATTTTTAAAAATTAATAAAGATAAAGAAATTATATATAAAATTTTTGTTAATAATAAAAAACTAAAATAAATAATATTAAAATAGAAAATTTAAAATTTAAATTAGATGTATACACATATATTTAGAGATTCTTATATTAGTATCCAAATTTTTGTCACATAACTATAATAATTTTTAAGTTTTTTTCTGTGTGTACAACGATTTCAAATTAAAAAATAAAACAAAAAAATAGAGTTAGCTTTCACAAAAAAATGAGTCATTAAAACGTAAAATAACCAACTTGGCTAAACTATAAGATTAACTATTAGCTAAATTACAAAGAATATAATGAAATAAAATATAAACAAAGCCATTACAAGCTGCTTTAATATCGAAAAAAGAGACCGAAAAATAAGCTTGGCCACCGAATTTGAGAAGAATGATAAATTTCAAGCAATCCGAGAAACATGTCAAGTGATTGATACTCGACACTTTTAAAAAAAAAAGCACTGAAAATAGAGAAAGAGGTTCCGTCATTAAGACGAAGGAGATTAAGGTATTTGAGGAAGATTTTTGAAATAACATGGCATCTGATACGGTTTTAACAACCTAACGTTAAGCACAAAGGTAACAATTAGCTGACCAAGAAGCATCCAAATACATTCGGTAAGCCTCAAAAACAAGGAGACCAGACCAAAATCATGACACTTTTAAAAAACGAAGCACTGAAAATAGAGAAAAAAAATTTGTCATTAAGCCGAAGATTAAGGTATCCGAGGAAGATTTTTGAAATAACATTGCATCTGATGGGGTTGTAACAACCTAACATTAACTAATAAGATAACAATTAGTTGACCAAACAGCATGCGAATATATTCGGTAAGCCTAAAAACAAGGAGAGACCATAATCACTTGCCTCGTGTGGGATCTTCCAGCTTTGATTTCTAAATCTATTATTAAAAAAAAAATAAAAGCTATATGTCTCTAAGAATGTTCACATATGATGTAAAAGTTCAATTTGATTGATCTACATCAATATTTAAAATTAAAAAAATTTTCAAAATTTAAAATTATATGGTTAACAAAAATATGTTTATAGAAAAATAAATATAGAAGCTATATGCCTCTAAAGACATCCACATAAGATTTAAAAATTCAATTTTATTAGTGAACATCAATAACTAAAATTAAAAAAAAAATCTAAATTATAAAATTACATTGTTAATACAAAACAATATAGAAAAAATTGTTAATTAAAACTATTCTATTATGAATAAAAATTCAAGCTATGTTATTTTCAAGGCATCCACATCAGCATTTAAAAATTAAATTTTATTTGTATATATCAAAATTGTAAATTTAAAAAAATTTCCTAATTCTATTAAGAAAGTAAATTAAAAAATAAAAAATCTCTAATAAAAAAAACATGATATTAAAATCTTCATTATTATTGTTTAAATTATAAATTTAATTTATTATCTATAAAACTATATATTACTTATACAAGTTTATGTTACTTGTTTTAAGGCTTTTCATGTAGAATTTTAAATAACTAATAATTATAATTTATATTAATTTTTTCAGATATGCAAAACATATTTCCACATAATCTCATGTAATATATTATACAAAAATGATTGAAAAACTTATATTTTGTATATTCGGCTTGGAATTGCAATAGATTAATGTAGAAGTTTTTAGTTTTGAGGATTTCAATTTGTAATACATTTATATCTGTATACATATAAAATATTATATATGTATACATATAAAATATAAAATACATTTATATATGTATACATATATGTATACATATAAAATATTGGTAATAAATTATATGTATACATATAAAATATTTTAATATGTATAATTTAAATAATTTAAATTCATACATACTAGTAAAAGTTGAAGCTAAATGCTTCTAAGGGTGTCCACATAAGATTTAAAAGGGTAATTTTATTGGTCCACATCAGCAATCGAAATTAAAGAAAATTTACAAATTTTAATATTATTACTGAACAAGAAAATTAAGAAGATTTATAAATTCTAATATTATTGCTGAATAAAGAAATTATGTATAATTTTTTTATTGGTCCACCTCAACATCAAAAATTTAAAAGTTTCCAAATTCTATTATTGTTTTTAAAATTAGTAAAGATAAAAAATTATATACAAACTTTATTTTAATAATAAAAATTAAAATAAATAATATTAGAAAATAAATTTTAAATTTAAATTAGCTGTATACACACATATTTAGAGACTTTTACATTAGCATCCAAATTTACTATAATAAATTTTAAGTTTTTTTCTATGTGTGCATTTATTTCAAAAAAAACAAAAATAGAGTTTTAACAAAAAAATCCATTCATAGTTTTCATATTCTTATTATTAATAGAATTTTAACAAAAAAAAATAGAGTTAAATTTCACTAAAATATGAGTCATTACAACGTAAGAAAACAAACTTGACTAATCTATATGTTTAACTATAATAAAAAAATATATACATAAAACCATTACAAGCCGCTTTAAAATTGAAAAAGAGACCGTAAAATATCCAAAGCTTAGCCACCGAATTTGAGAAAAATGATAAATTTCAAGCAATCCGAAAAATATATCAAGTGATTGATACTCGACATTTTTGAAAAACGAAGCACTGAAAATAGAGAAAGAGGTTTCATCATTAAAACGAAGGAGACTGAGGTATTCGAAGAATATTTTTGAAATAACATAGCATCAGATGGGGTTTTAGCAACCTAACTTTAACCACAAACGTAACAATTAGCTGACCAAGCAGCATCCGAATACATTCGGTAAGCCTCAAAACAAGGAGGAGATACCAAAATCATGACACTTTTAAAAAACAAAGCACAGAAAATAGAGAAAAAAGTTTTGTTAACAAAA